AGTTAAAATTGAAATACATCTCAGTTCCAAAAGTATTAGTAGAGTGTTGCAACTTAAAATTTAGTAAACTGATCAGGATTTAACTCCAGAATTGTAGAGATTTTAGGAACATTGCACCAAACACCTTAGATTGTGTTGGTTTGCTTAGATAAAGAGACAGGGCTGTTCATGATGGATTTACGCCTTGCTTTCCTCCACTTCCCCCACCTCTTTAAATTATGGCTCCGTATAAGATCGATTAGTGTAAACTGCTGCTCATTGGGTTTAAGAGGAACAATTTTCTGCAGCTCCTTCACACGGGTTTGAAAGGAAAAAAAATACCAAACATTCTGCTTAATTAAGACCTAAAGAGGCGGTGCAAACTTTTGATGATTAATTGAAGCATGCTTTAGACTGATGCATATTTAGTTATTATAATGTGATAATTTTATCTTGTTATACAAACTACTCCCTTTGGGAACATGATTTAACACTGCAAACACTCCGTGTTTATTGCATTGTTCATTATGAAAAATACACAGGATAAAAACCACAAGGAGATGTAACTGAACAGTATCTGTGTGGTGGGTGCAGGGAGTACTTCTTCCACCTGTAATGACACAACCCAGAGGCTGAAAAACACAATATTGTAACTCCCACAATATCTCTCCCTGTGAAGAGCTGAGAACTCAGAAGAGCAGAGGCTGGAAATTTAAATCTTGTGCAGTATGTAGAAAGAATTTATCCTTCTATTACCTGGTCTAATTACAGAGGACAACAATATGTATGTTCTGCTGAATGTCCTCCTTTTACTATTCAGTTGTGTCAGTCACACCTCTTCTTTGTCTCACCTGTAAGAGTGCCCATGCTACCTGTCATAAATGTGACAGATTTATGCTCTCAGTGCTCGGAGAGCACTTTGCAAAAACAGGTCATAAAGTTGCAGGCCCAGATGGAGGGGGGAAAAAATAAGCAGTTATTAAGAAGTATTTTCTTTCACTTCAAAATTCTCTGTGCCAGGACTTGCAAATGGTATTTTTGTATTTTACAAACATGTCTCAGCATAGCTATATGAGCCCTAAAAGTGATGGTGAATGATCTTCTTCAGAAGAGCTGCTCCAGTGAGAGCTCACATGATGGATGTAGGCATGGTGTCAGGATGAGCTCATGTTACTTTAAGCGGGTATGCTAAGCTAGACTACCAGCAAAAGTCTGACTATGAGCAAAGGAGACCATTGCTGATGTAATAAACTGGTATAATTATTGTGGAGAAGCTTTCTTAGTGCAGTTCTAATCAAGAAAAGATTAGAATAAAGATTGAAGACAGATAACAGGTCTTAAATTACTGGATTTGAAATTTCCTGCTTCCCTGTGATCTCTTAGCAGCAAGTTCTTCTAGCTGAGTGCTCTAGGAACAGAGATTTGATACATTTTCCTGAAAGCAAGGCAGGAATCTGGTAAAGTGATTTTCGAAGAATTTGGCCTTGAAAAATGAAGGTCTGTGAAAAAGTGAGAGGAATTTTATCTTGAATGGAATGCAAGATACAAATTTCTGGTTTCAGATTATTCCAACCTATGTTTAGCAGATGACAGCACTTAAATCCCAAGAGTCTCTTTTCTTATTTCACACAGTCTTAACGTTTTGAGGCTACATTATTGCTTCTCACTGCTGGTAGAAATACATGAAGTAAGACTTTCTGCCAATGTTGCAGTCCTGGTTTTTGGTCTCTAAGCTTAATACACTGTAACAAAACATGCCTATTAGTTCTTTTCACAAGGTCTGCTCAGATCTCTGCCACAACTGGTGTGAAGAAGGAAAGCACATAGTCAGGTTTGGACCTTTATCATCGTCCCCAGCTGTCATCCATACTCATAGGGCACACCTCTGTACTCTCCCAGGTACCAAGCATGACTTCCTTTCTCTGCTGTTCTCAGCATCACTTGTAGCTGAAAGAAAGGATTTGATTTTAGACCAAGTTTTTGCTCCTGCTGGGTTGGACCCAGTTGAAGGTCCACAGAAATGTGATACTGGATGTTTTCTATTTCATTTGATGAACTGCACTATAAAAAGTTAGATTTGCATCAAAAATTGACTTGGGTAAATCTAAGCTTGAGGGAGCAGAGATGACTTGAAAAGTGCTGTATTAGTGTCCTGTTACAGGAAGTGTGTACTCTCAACCCCCTTCTGAAGTACTGCTATTCCCTGGCTGCTTCACATGGCCATACTCAGTTAATCCTTCTGTAGCAGTGTTCCTGAGTCTTAAATTGAAGAGGCATCTAGTTCTATTATTGCTGTTACCATAAAATGAAAAGGATTGCATTTTTTGATGAGTAGGATGAGAAAGGAGTAGAACAGAGAAATAGTTTGAGTTCTTTGTATATAGCTAGACTATTTCCTTCCCTTTCCCCCTTTCTTCTTTCGAAATGATGACCATTTTGACTAATGTTGGTGATGCCTCCTGGATATTGCATATCACTTCCTGGAAGTGCATACAGTGGCTGGAAGTAGTAGTTTATAGACCATTCTCTGCTATTTTTTTTGACCGTCAGATCCATGGACCACAGGTGAAGCCATGCTGCTTCAGAGGATTCTCTGTGAGGTGGTGGTGAAGTTCTGGACAGGGCATAGCAGGACAGCAACTTGACACAGAAGGTCTCTCTCCCTCTCCTCTTCTCCCCTTGCCAGGATATATCTTAGAGGGTCTTTGGTAGAAGGAGGTGGGCTGGACCTGACTGTCCTGCATAACAGCCTGCAGAGAAGTGAATGATGTGGCTTTTCCATGTAAACAGCTGCTGCTGGGAGCCTGTGTAATTAGAAATGAACAATTGTGTGGGTCTTTCTCATCATCTATGGGAGACAGTTCATGTGAATCAGTGAACAGAAATTGAGTGACAGCTGAGGTGTTCCCCCTATCAAATCACTCATGAAAGCCCCTGAGAATCCCAGTGGTGCACCTCTGTGTTTCCCTTTAAAAACTGTGCCCCAGACATGCTAACCGACTTCAAAAATACCTACTTCAGCACCTACTTTGCCAGTGAACTCTCTTTCAGCTCTGTAATATTCTTTTTTTCATTTATGAGTTCCTCTCACCAGAAATGAAGACTATTAGAAAGGTATCACTGGTAGATCTTCTCTTTTCCAGAGATAAAATGCTTCTTATCAGTAGGGGAATATATGTTACTGTTATCTGAAACAAGAGTCTGCTGTCTGGTTCCTTTGATTCGGGGATCTTCTGTTGTCCTGGTACATTCAAAGGGGCAGGTTCAGTCTCTAAGGAATCGGTTTATTATAGTGCAAAGGTAGCTGAATCAGGGTGCCTTTGTAAAAGAAACTACTTCAAATGGCTCAGGATAAGAGTGGGGGGAAGAGCTCTTGGTCTGTGCTGGAGTGGTTGGCATCCTGGACAAGATCAGCCTGTAGAGAAAGCGGCAATGACCCTGTGCAAAACCACCACAGCAGCACCCTGTGTGCCTGGCTGATGTTACAGCCAGCTCAGGGCAGGCTTTTTGACCCTAGAGATGGCTAGTGATAATTTTGGCCAAATTGTTATGATTTCCCTTCGTGTTCAGTATATGAAGGCGCTTCTAATACTAGCAAATCCCTCTCCAAAGGGTAAGTGATACAATACGTTAAACAAGAATCTGAGCTATAACTTGGCCTTAAATATAGGTTTAAAGGTAGACAGTCTGATTAAAACTAAAAGGTCATTATTTTACATTGTAGAATTTTATTTGTAGCTGTAAATCATAACACAATTTGTGGAAGGAAAAAAGTTATTAAACTGGCAATATTTATTCCAATAAGGTGAGTAAAATGCAGCACGTAGTTCTGAGTTATGATAGTCAGGGAAAGGAGCCAAATCACTCTGCTAAAAATTAGTTTGCCAATAATTTTACAGAACGATGACAGCGTAGCTTCAAAAACAAATCCTTTATAGGGAAATAGGATGGCTGCATGACAGAATCTCTAAGCTATGAATTCTCCACAGCTCATGGACCAGGAACTGCTTTAACAATTAGTCTCCAGGGATATTTTTTCCCAGAAGTTAGACAATGGCTGCTGTCTGTAACTGAAAGGTCATTCAGTATCATAAACTGGACATAAGAACTGAAGAATTCTGAATTTTAAGTCAGAGAGTTCTGCTAACTTATTGACTTGATCTGTTCAGTAGGCTTAAGTATTCACTGCTGTTGTCTGTGACACTGAGGTAGGAATGATGATCACAAGGATATTGCTGCACATCAGTAAATAAGCTCTGGGGTATTTTTACATGGCAGAAGGTACACATGCCACATTTGTAACACACGTTAGAGAAGAACTTGAAAGAGACTCAGGAACTTTGCCTGAATTAAAATTTGACCAATGAGCATAATGACTGAAAAGTAACCTGGCAGATTTTGCCACAGTGCTGCCACTTCTGCCTTGCTTAAGTCTGTATTTCTGTGACTGCTGAATTCACACAAAAGCTCCCTGTTTTGTATGCTAGTAATTTCAAAATAATACAGAGAAGGGGTGTTTTATGTTCCTTCTTATTTAGAAGAGGGCCCGTGTTAGAGACCTGCCTTGGTGCAGCACCTTCTGGCTGTGTTTTATCGCCAGCTTGCTGAGCAGAGCATCTCAGGGACTCACTACAGCAGACTGTAAGTAACAAGAACAAAGCAGCAATGCTCACTAAACCTTCAGCCTTGGCTACTCATTTAATAAAGAGTTGTACGCTCTTAAGCATGCTAAAAAGTTCTCGAGATTTCCAGACATTTTCAGCAGTGCACAATTTTTGGAGCTAATCATCTTTTCCAGCCATTTTAGAAGCTTTGCCAGTCTGCTGAGTCTGGCTGGCACAGGTCACTGCCTGCCTGAGGATGAAGCTGGTGATCACAGGCAGACACAGTTCTGCTCTCTGACAGTATGGGAGTTAGAAATAAGATGAGCTGGTGCTGCTTGTATCTAAGAGTAAGTGTGCAGATGTCTGAGGAAGGTGTTTGCATCTCATGTAAACATTGTTCTTATATTTTTGTTGTAGAAGATGATGTGTCAAATGTACAAATAATGTGTGCCTGGTGCCAGAAAGTTGGAATCAAGCGCTATTCCCTGAGTATGGGAAGTGAAGTGAAATGCTTCTGCAGCGAGAAGTGCTTTGCAGCTTGCCGAAGAGCATATTTCAAGAGAAACAAGGTAAGAGAAATAAGGAAAGATGTAACCTACATGGACATGGCTTTATTCAGGCCCAGCCTGAGTCTCATTTAGCATCTAATAGAAACTCCTTTCTTTTGTTTTCTCTGTTTCACCTAGTCCCACCACTTTCCATCTGTATTGTCTGTTGGACTGTCAGCCCTTTACTAACCTTCTTTCTTTCAGTTTCTGTCAGCTTGAAACTTGGGTTTTGTGAGAGTCAGGGAATTTAATAAACATTAACATAAGACTCTGAATTTGGCCTTAGAGTCTCTGGATACTTCCTGCACATACACAGCTAGGAGGAAGTATCAAAGAAATAGAGTAGAGAAAGGTTGTGTATGACAGTGCCACCTGGCATTGGGATTATGGCCAGTGGGTAAATGCTTTCAGGGCCCAAGTCTCAGTCCCATAACAATATTGGACATCTTTTCACTGCTGCTAGTGAACTCTAGTTTCATTCTTTAAAAGTGTATAATTTTTAATAACTTATCATTGCTACAAAATTCAGACAATATACAGTTTTTGGGTTGGGGTAAGCAATGTTAGAACATCTAGAGTAGTGTGAAAGCCCCTCCTACTCAATTTAAATTTAACTCCGTCTAAAATTAGAAAGCAATCCTAATATTGAATGTCTACAAAAATTGCTGTAATCGCTGAAGCACAGTGCCTGAAAATGCCCTCTAGGTTACTTCAACAGCTGTTTTTCTGCAGCGGAATTCATAACATGTCATTTAAAGAAAAATAGAGAAGAAACACCTCAAATTTTTAGTTGTTGAAAGAGTAACTGTGTCCTTTTGGTGATCAGTGTGAGCCGTTAGGTAACTTTATTGTCTTAGAAGTGTTAATCATTCATAAAACACTTTACATTTTCCTAAATGATGCCATTTACCCTCATGCTTCAGAACATTCCAAGCCTGTCAAGTTCAAACTGACTTCAGGTCTCTAAATCTAGTCTTTTGCATCTGTCATAATAACAAATAAGTACATATGGATACTAGACTCAAGATGCAATGTTATAGCAAATTAACCTCCTTTATAAATTTGGGTCACATCATCCTGCCAAAAAAAAAAAAAAAAAAAGCCTGAAGAATTAGGTTGCAAAAATCAGTGGAGTGGAATTTTAGTGGCAGTCTTGGAGAATCAAGCTCATAGTGTCTACTGGAGCATACAGGCAAGTATAAGTCACATGAGTATTCTGTGAAGAGTGTTGTTTACATTCTTTTTATCTAGAAAAAGTGTAGCAGAGGGAAATACATGCTCCTTAGATGCTCCTCATTTGAGAATAAATTCACATGGATGTATATGCATGTGCACACTCGCATTTTTATCACATGCAGTTCAGGGTGCCTTACAATGTGCTAGACACAGTCCAGACACCCTGGACTGACAGGATACAATCTCTGTCATCTAATGCTCCTGTGACTTCCAGTCACAAATTTACCTGGATAAGACACTTCCTAGAAATGGAGGCATTGTCAGTGATCCTGGTTAGGTGGTCCTGTGTGTCCAGAACTGATGAGTACCAGACAATTTGGGAAACCTCGGAGAGGCAGATGAAAGAACTTGGTGTATTCTTTCTCACTTACCACTTAGATCCTGAAATAAGAGATTTAGATCTCCACTAAATGAAAATAAATGCATGTTAACATAATGCATAGGTGTACTTCAACCTTCTAGTAACCTATTAGTATTCAGTAATAGTTTATGACCACGAATTCAATCAGTGAAGCAGTATATGAAAAAGTTCCCTTTTACCTGACTTACTATTTATTACCCTTGTGTTTTATTGGAGGCTTTCTTGTCCTTGTATTATGAGAAAGAAAGAATGAATTAGAGCTTCACATTCTCTTTGATTCCCTTTCCTACACCTCTGCTATCTTCTTCTGGAAGATGCTGAATATTTCCATCCAGAAAGCTCTCTATATTCATTATTTTTGTGTGTGTGTATGTACAAACACAAACACACACACGTATATATAGACACGATAGATGTTCCTAATATTTCCATATACCAGCATATCCCAGTGAAATGTCCTATTATTCGCTAAAGAAGTTTCAAACTAGCAAAATGTCATGTGGGAGGACTTGGCAAAGCATGGTGAGAAAACATTATCATGTTGATTGGTTCTGCTTCAAAGCTAAGCCAATGAGTTAAATTTTCTTTCTCTTTGGACCTGTGGAACCTGGAATTTCACAGGATCTGACTGAGCAGAGGAAATCTGTAGCTGCCCCTTACGTGTATGTTTATGGCATTAGATGATCTGAGGACAGAATATTTAGGAAGTGCTGCTGTTAAATTAAGACAAACACAGTAGAACTCAGCAGACCCTCACGCTTCTGGTTTTGCACTACACTGTTAGTAACAGAGTGGAGTCTTGAGGAATAAGATTAAAAGATCCAGGATGCAATAGTTTCAGATTTAACTGCTGACCTTTGCTCTGTTACTGCTATTCCAACAGCGTACCTGTCTTCTCCATGACTCTAATGCATATTTATGTATTTTAAGGAATTATGCCACTCTACACTTTCTCATTTTTCAAACAGAGGAGCAAAACAGTCACGTTTCACCTGCGTTATGCATGTTTTAAACAGTGGATCTCTGCCACAATATAGTGTTGTATTACATTAAATATGTACAGCTGCTGCATTTCTGGGAGCTGATAGGACTTTGTGGTCACTTTATATAAAGCTTGAGTTTCCTAATGGATCACGTTAAGCAGTCTTCCCTCTCTTCCCTGGATAAGAAGCGCTGTAGTAAGTGCTTGCCTCAGATGATAGCACTGTTTAAGCAGTAAAGAATTAGTTATCACTAATGCCTCAAAAGCACTGAGTAATGCTGTGAATTATCCATCCCTGAATGACAATGTCTGTGTTCAGAATGAGGACTTTTGTAATCACCCTAATGAAAAAGTCTTTTCCCATACATAGGGCAAATGCACACTGCATGCCACGGATTCCCAACTGGGAGAAGGCTTGGCATGATCCCATACTGGAGTGCCCTGAAACTGCTCCACAAAGCCCCAGGTCAGCTGGGCACTGTCTGCTCCCAATTTCTAACTTCTTCCCAGCCCTTCCCTGCGCTAGGTTTAGCAAGAGTAGCAACACACTGCAATAAGCTGGTACCTTCCTGGCCTTGGGAGCTTTGACCCCAAGGAATTGAGTCAGAGGTGCCTGTAGGGCTTTCCTGCCTTTTGTCCTGCTGGAGTCCTGTCTAATTGTGCTCCACAAGCTGTGTCCCTGTATCCACTGCATCCATGCATAGCTAGGGCATCAGGGAGCTTCATGCCTGCGATGGGAAGTTTGTAAGGAAAGAGACTGGTGCAACCTTAAGTTGCTTTCCTTATAAGAAATGCAAATTTTGCTCCAGGTATTTTGAAGTCATGACGGTTTAAAATTATATCAGCCAGCAGCCATGCCTTGCAAGAAAAGAAATATATATGTTTTGAAATTATAAAGGCTCTTCCAACAGAGTAAATTTATCTAAATTATCAGATATAATTTTACAAAAAATTGAGGCTTTTACCCCATTAAGCAAAACCCAAAGTATTTCGACAAGATCCAATTTATAAAGAAACCTAAAAATGCCACGACTGCCACTCCCAAACAAAAATAACCCAAATCTGCATTCCTGCTCCTGTTTTGTCCAGTTTGCCCAGTCAAATACACATAATGAATACTATATAATGACAAGCTGTTGAGTATAATAATACTGATTAAAAGGAACCATTGCTGGAAAAGCAAGCATTTGGGACTAATATTAGTAACCAAAGATAGAAGATTTGGATGCTCCCTTCTTAGATTTAATTTTATAGGCCAACTAATACAAAGTTAAGTACCAAAGAGTCATGTGAGGGCAAAAAGCACTAGACCACCAAGTTTCAGAATATGAAATTTAAAGGGAACAGTTGGACTCGTAATTGGATCCAAGGAGTCTGAAGCTTGAAGAGATTAATTTTGAAATTAAGTTGACTCAATGGGTCAGAAAACAAATTTATAAGAAATAGCCAAATGTGGAACTAGGACTGACTTCACAGAGGTTATAAACTCTCTTCACGCATATATTAAAGAATAATTTACTTAATTTGACTAAGACTTTGGAGACATAGTGACTGCAAGGTTCTCAGGCAGCATTTTATACTTAACCTTGTCCCTGCTTTGCACTGCCTCCCAATTAGGAAGAAAGATAGATGTTTTTGTTTACAGTGCAGTCCAATTTCATTCATACTAATAAACAAAAAGGCATAAATCAAAAAGTAAAAGTAAGCTACTCTTTAGCACCATGAAGATGTAAACAAAGATGACCCATTCTCCCTGTAAAGTATAGTGATGGGCAATAGTGTGTGTTAGTAGTGCAGACAGGGAGTGTGGTTTAGGGTCCTTTAGCTCTCATCTGCGTGGCAAAAATGAATGTGAATTATCAAATGGAGCTGTAAGAAGTCTTGCACACTTATTTAGTTCTGAGTTCTGTTGCATTAGACGACTCCTCACATTTTCAAGCTGTATTTAAAGATGATAAAGAGCATGCAACATCATATAGCTTTTGGCTCTTGCCTGCATAATTTTTTGGTTAATTAATATCTATCACTAAGTGATAATATGGACATTTATATGCAAACATGTACTATAAACTGGGAGTAAACAGCAGCTATCATTCCCCGGAATTATTACTGAGGATTGTCAGAGAAAGTTCTCTTGATTTCAAGCTTAATTGTGCGGCCTAACAGTGCATGAGAGACATTTAACAATCTCACTGTTAAGTCAATGAGTAATGGCAAGAAAAAAGCTACTTTCATGTCTTTCTTATGCATATACAAAATTTAATTTGTAAAGTGATCATTATTCATTGAAATTCGGAAAATTGCTTAAAGCAACTTGATGCAAATAATTCCCTGACCAAAAAAAAAAAAAGCTTAGCAGTTCCTTTAGACTCCCTTGGGAATCTGAATAGAAAATCTTTCTCCTAGAGATTTAACTTTCATTAATCAGGTGTTCAGAAAGGT